CTGATGTGTGTGTGTGGCCATGCGTCGGCGTCTGCTGTGAATGCCCACATGGCGCGCGTTGTGGGTTAATTGGCGAGAAGCAGACGTTGTAGCTGACTAGCCGTGCGTGCGGTTTGTACAACCACGCCGCACATCGTCCTACTACCCTTCGCCCAGACTTTACACACCCTCCTCCTCCTCCTCCCACGCGCACGCACGCACGCACGCACGCACGTGCACGCACGCTACGCACGCTGACGCACACACCACACGCACGCACGCATGCACGGACGTACGCACAAACGAACGCACGCACCGCACGCACAAACGATGTGTAGTGGATGGGCTGTGTTGTCGGAACTGCGCTCACGCGTAGCGCAGCTGGCAGTTTGCGCAGAAACACAGTGCGATGGGAGTCTGTTCGTGGCCAACACTTCCCTTCCCACCCACCCGCTCGCATCAGCTGGCTGCTGCTGCTGGCTGTGCTGCTGCTGCACCAGTATTTGAGAATAGTGCTTATCAGAATCGTTAGTTCACGGAGTCTGACACGGACGCTGACCTGGCATCAACCCTATACTCGTCATGAGTGTTAATAATATAGGACACATTATATATCGCGCGGGCCCTTCTATTTCTATATTAAATCTAATATTAAAATTTTGCAGATGATAACTACATCACTACAATTTTTAATCATATTAATATAACAGAGCTAATACCATCCTCGTGAACTCTCTCTTGAACTAATCGCCCTATACTAAGATAATATGTCCTTCAACCAAAAAACCTTAATTTGTCTCACCTACTGTGGTTGCTCAACCGTTATCTCATATAAATAAGACCGCTCTTATGTGCTCAAGAACACTTATCATTATCTTTTCTTATTTTATGTATTCTTGTACTAGTGCTTACGAGCCACCATCGACGTCTCGCGTATACTATCACTTAGACTTTGGACTTAGATACAGTGCCTTAATATCCGATATAGTGAAATGCGTAATAAGCGCGAGCTACGGTGTACGCTACAAACTATCTCGCATGACATTTGTCTCTGTCTCCTATAACTCTGTGCCCACGATTATTGTATATACTCGCTCTAAAATGTGTAATTGATATCTGTACTATTGTATAATTTGGCTACTGTGAGAATAGCTTCTAAGTATTGTTCAACTGCCCTACTCCTGACAATACCCGTACTATTGTTAACTTTGATACCCTGTAACAATAACTGAACTATTGTTACAACTGCTACTGTAACAACTCACCGTTGATGGCTGGTCGTCATCGCAGATACGACAAGCTCTCGCTTGATTACCGTGCCAAGGGTGGTCTCCGGCATCCATTCTCGGTCGCTATATCTAGTTTCAGACGCCAAACCTTTGAAATTGCTGTCCATGATTCCTGAGCGCATAATATGATCTCAAGGATATTGCATGTCATAGGTCATGCCGTAACGACGTATAATCGACAGTTGAGGTGAACGGTTGCATAGGATGCAGACTGTGGGGAAGTAGCAAGAGAGAGAGAGGGAGAGAGAGACGAGAGAGAAGAGGATCTGTGGTCGTCGATGGAAGACCGCCTGCCTTCTTCGCGGACCTCCTGGTCATATGAACTATGCATCTGATTGTGTGTACGTGCACGCGTGCGCCGGTGATGTATGGGTGTGTGGGAGACGTGCGCGATGTGTGTGTGTGGGTGTCGTGTGTGTGTGTGTGTGTGTGTCACTGTGTGTGTGGTTGCTGGAGAGCGCGAGCGTGTTCACGTGGTGCAGCAGTTGAAGGTAACTAGCGAATGGGAGGGAGGCGAAGGCGTAGGTGTGCGTCGCGCGGCTGCTTTGGGGTTGCTATTTGTGTCGCGGACAGTGATGCGGGGAACAACGTGTATAGCGACGGTAGAGAGACGAGAGCGAGAAGAGGGCAGCGAGGAGCGAGGGCCGACGAGAGGGAACAGCGATGGACGAGGGGAGTGCGTGGGCGCGCGTGCGTGCGTATACATGCTTGTGTGCGTACTCGCGAACGCGTATTACGCAGGTAGGTGTTTACGCACGTGCGCGTATATATTTAGAATTAATCACGCATGCGAAAAACAATTTTGCATTAGTATGCAAATACGTCGCGGCGATTGGCTTCTTGTCTTCACTGCAGGTCTACGGGGCTGCTGCCGCTCCATCGCCCGTACACTTGGAAAATCCTGAATTCCAAACGCGCTGGTACTTCAAGTACTATCTTGGAAAACGTATGTCTTTTAATTACCTTGACTGTTTCCTTATTAACGGTTTTAACATTCCGTGTTTGATCGTTGGCTGTCCGCAAATTTATGCCATTTTCTCTGCATTTACATAATCGTAATTGCCTTGTTATAATGCCGCCGTGTTCTAACACTTTTAAAATCGATAATCTTTTTTTTTCCTTTCCGCTAAGAGCTCTCATAATCCCGTGCTCAATCAATCCAACTTACCTAAAGTTTCTCTTCAACATTAGGCGATAAGCCCTACGGTATTAAAATATAAGCACAATACTATACAGTACAGAGCAGTTAAGCTCTCTATGGGAGAAGTAGAGCGTGCAGAGAGTAAGTGAATTTATTAGATGTCTTTCGGAATCTCTGCCCTGCCTCCGTATTTCAGAGCACCAGAATTATGTGGGTCACGAATACGACGGAAACATATTCTTCCTGTCGATTGTTCTTACCGACGCCAACAATCACAGCGTGCCGCAGTACAGAGTCATCTTGTGGCGCAGAACGGTAACCTTTTCACGATGTTGTCGATTGCGATTATCGAAATGAACGTGCTTATTTCATGTAATATATACTAGTTTTATATAAAATGTAAAACTAAGTTAAACGTATATAAATTATGCGCCACGTGCCTACTACTAAACTAAGTCCAGCGGCCAAAATAGACGCATATAGACGTGCCAGCAGCTCAGCTACGATTAATGGCATACTGTCATGTGGAGAGCGCCCACTAAGATGACCGGATGTCTAAAGGTCTTCACATCCATGCAGCTTAACAATTATTTTAATATATATCCTTCGAGACTTGCAGCAAAACAGACAACCGGGTTTGAACACGCTAGTAGATATATCGAAGTGCCGCGTAGATTTCGCTTCAGTGATTGTCGAAGACATTCGCGAGATGAATAGTCGCGTGGCTCTATCCTGGCATCGCTCCCAGTGATAATGCAAGGCGTTCCAATAACGCCATGCGAGAAATGCATTCGCAAAATCTTTCGCCGAAGCGCCGACAGATGGATGGCGCGTATCTGGACGAAATCGTTGCGACAGCCGACGCGATATTCCCACAGGTGCAATATGTAACTAGTATATGCAGAATGGTGGCAATCCCGCCTGCATCCAACGCCCGCCGAGGGAACACGCGGCGGCCGATATGCACTTGGCGGTGGATTCGGTTGAGCCGTTTCATTGTGTCGCTTCAATCATGTCGCCGCTATACGCACGATGCGATGGCGTGCCTCACTGAGTCGACGCTGGTCACGACGTGCTCGTCCTCAGTCATTGCTGGTCGTCTTAGCGGCGAGTTAACAAGCACACCGCCAGCTGTGATCCACGCTCGACCACCTACACACGCACACACACACGCACGCGCGAGCACACACACACACGCACGCACGCACGCACGCACGCACGCACGCACGCACACACACACACACACACACGCACACACAAAGAGAGTGAGAGAGAGAGAGAGAGTCACGGCTGTGGCACATTTAACGTGTAACATGTAATGTCGTCGTATGAGTGTATACCGAGGTTCGACTGCACATGGGTGTCGTTATTCTCCCGCAGAGGCACACTGCCCGTATAAACGACAGTTCGTATGCTGAGACCACCGTCTCGGTAATCCGTAGACGAGCGTGCGTCACGTTAATATGACAATCTCGACTAGCGACGCGCAATCACGTTGCAGACGACTTTTTCGCACGTTTTCGGCAACCGTAAAAAAGCTCAAAATTTCATAGCGATCATATATACTCTTTCACACATGCAGGAGCGCAGCATCTGACGTATTAAATGTTCGACGCTTGTAAAAAAACTCATTTTTTTTCGAGAGCTTACGCGTCTTCGTGATACGTCTTGATTCGGGCAGGTTTATCCGATTGCGCTCGCAGCTTTGAAATGGCGCCGCGCGAATGTTTTATTGCGTTGGAAGCTACGCTCTCACCGCCGACAAAGGTCATCGGCGTTGTCGCATCGTACGTGTGTTGTCGTCGTAGATGGGGCCTGCCGTGATTGCATGTACTTTACAAATTGCGCGAAGAGAGTGTAAGAGCGGATGCGTGCGACGCTGTCCGTCACGACATCCGAGTTTCTCAATCGCTTGCCTTTCACGCCGACCGCGACGATTGTGCAGGGAACGCAGAAGATATGCCTGCCTTTTAATCCCAACAAGCCGATGACGGCGAAGCAGATATCGAGGTGAGTAAAGCGCCGACATCCCGCTAAGCGCTTGCGTTCTAATGCGTTGTAATGATGGTTACGCCGAATTCATGCGCATCTGTGTTGCGCGCAATCATGCGATGTAGGATGATGCGGATGATGAAAGAACGCGTGCACGTGTGCTTGGGACTGTGAATGTATGTGCGCATACATTACACGTGTATATGTGCGTGCGTGTGAAGTTGTGAACGCGTGTGCGGGGATACGTATTCGCCCATCTGGGTTTCATGTCTTTCATTTTGAATTTTGCACATGGGAGAGATAGTGATCCGCTAGGGGACGGCTCTGATTGGCTAATATTGTCTCTTATTCATTTTATTTTTTATTATTTTTGGCTAATTTTGTTTTATTTTAGAATTCGGGATATGGTTAGGGTTAGGGTTAGGGTTAGGATTAGGGTTAGGGTTAGGGTTAGGGTTAGGGTTAACTTACTTTTATATCCACAACTTATTTCTATATTCACTATCTCTCCCCTGAGACCTACTATTTCATTTTCCTTACGATTCGACAGAGCGTATCAGTGAAATTGCTCGCGGGAGGAGCAAACAATAGACAATAGTCATGTGACTACATGGTTTCCATGGAAACCAGGAAACATATTCACGCGCACAAACTTCTATTATCAGCTACATACGTGGCAACTTAAAATGAGCCCCCTTAGCACGGGCTTCCCTATATAACGTAATGGTCGGTTTGAGGGGGCCGTGCAGCCAACACTCGAATATTCCTCTCCGAATTGTTAGGGATCTCCTGTTTGTGCAAGCGCAGCGACAGCAGTATGAATTCGAGAGCGTAGAGAAAATCCGTTCTCTGCTATACGCGCGCCTACAGTTCTCGGTGTGACCTGGACGCGCGCCTGCGAGAATCAATAATTTAAGCATCGTAATGAACATATAACCTGCTTTTTATTAGCAGCTAATTATGGACGCTGCAGCGTCATCCTTGCTTAGTAAATAAGTGAGAGGCGCGAGTTTTGACGCGCCATCTTACGTCGCGAGAAGTGTCGAGCATATTATATCGCCGCTAACTTCCCTTAAATCTCATTAGCTCATTTCCGAGACCATCACTGTTGTTGGCCGCGTAGCCCTACATGTGGCGCGTGATTTCATCAACAGTCGTGCCAAGATGGCATTGGCTGCAATAATAATATACGGGCCATCCGAGATATGTCGGTGCGCTTCACCTTGCGTGATAATAAAGAGATGCCTGGAATTCTTATGAGTTTCTTTTCGCAGCGAATTGACAACCGAAAGCCGGCAATAACAAGCAGGCAGTTGCGTTTCAGCCTCATTTCACGAGACATTCAAATGGTCCTGTCCAAGCGACAACCTGTTCAACATAGCGGCTGTACTTTTTTACGTATTTTGTTGACGGATTGCATGCACGAACGTAATACAACGATTGGCTATACACACACACACACACACACACACACACACACACCACCACACACACACACACACACACACACACCCACACACACATAGCATACACACACACACACAACACACACACACACACACACACACACAACACACACACACTACACACACAACAGCCACACACACACACCACACACACACACAACACACACACACACACACGCACACACACACCAGCACACCATATATAGTATATCATATATAACATTCAGCATACAAATCCAGTACAAAGTCGCTATCTACTCATCCTGTGGCAATTCCGCGCCGACGTGGTCCTGATCATTGACTAGGAATTCGCCATAAGGTTTGGATTTTTCGAACACCGCCTCATTGGTCGTCAATGGCACTGGACGTTTCAATTCTCACACGAGCACGGAACGTCAACATATAGCCGACTTTATACGATCAGCGTTGTTAGTAATACTGTAGAATAATCCGCTAATCATGAGATATACATAAACAGCACAGCACCTAACCAAAGTAATCGCGATGTAGAGAATCCTCGTGAAATACGGGAAATTTGACGGTGCGACCTCACATGAGGCGCAGCCATCATTCCATGTAAAATTGCCATGGAGAAGGGAGAGACGTTACCGCACAGTCACTAATCTTTCAGCTAATGCCGTTCTGAATTAGGAGAGTGCACCGTCTAATGTGCATGCCAGTCTTGTTAACGCTGCGTATATGGTAATTGAATTTCGGTTGTTACAGTTAAGTGTCGCACGATGAGGATGGGGCGGCTCACGCTGTCGGCGCTTCGAGTAAAAACGGGGAATCGGTGTGACAAAGACGAGGTAAGTCCCCGCCCCCACACAGCACACCGCACCCACAATGTGGGGTGTATATGTCGTGGGGTAGGCACCTACTCACTTATTTTGTCTCACTTGCGTGTCATCTGCATCAAAAAATTGATTGCTCCATATATCAGTCAGGTGGGCGGCATAACTTCGTGCCGACGGACTTACAATTACGGTTAACTTCGCGTTACAGTTAGCTATAGCCAGCTAGAGGAGCTCAGGCCTAACGGCACTTAGAACCGGCTTCTAGAACAACGATGGGTGTTAGCGTTATAATTATA